GGCTCCACGCGCGCTGTGCCAATCTACGTGTTCGGTGGCATTCCCTGCGAAGTTCCGCGATCTCGTCACTAACTCTGTGTGTGTGTGTGTGGGTGGGGGAGCTCATGGATCGGACGGCGTAGTACGGTTCGGACGACATTATGTTTCACTGCAGTTTAACAGTTTTCTCTACGCTACATACGGAAAATGGGAGAAAGTAAAAGTCAAAAATTTGGAGTGTTAAAAGGTTGAAATTTTTAAGTGGAATGCCATTAATCCATAACCTAAAACTCATAACAAGCAAGATGAAACCAATAATTTGTCACAGAATAATGTGTATGATAAAAAAAAAAATTAAGTGTCTCTTTAGAATGTATTATATATTCAATATATTTCATGTATACAAATAAAAAAATTATGATTATATACAAAATAATCTTCTTAATAAAACATTTGTCACTTCAAGGGCGCAGACCACACCAATATTTATCAGTGATTGCAGACTTTATTTAAATTACTCTTCATAGATTCATTCATAAGTCTCTATTATTTACAAAAACAATTCAATGGAAGTACTGATTTCAACTTCTCAAGCACTACTGTTCATTGAATGATATATTTAAAATCTATTTCTCCTTCGTTTTACCAGCTGATATTTCATAAATCATTTCTCTAATTCGTTGAAGTTCACGTAGTTGATGCTGAATACTACAAATTTCTTGATCTTTCTCCTCTAAGCTTCTCTCATGAGATTTCACAAGAACATCAAGATTACTAGCTTCCTGAAATAAAAATAAAATATATATGGACAAAAAATTAAAAAAATTTTAAAATCAAAAAAACTTTACTTACACCATACAAGTCAATAAAAGATGATTGTTTATTTCTATGATTAAATTATGTAACTTTCTTCAATATGAAACCAATAACAAGAACTCTATCTACAAAAACTGATTGGGCACTTCAGTTTCTTCCTTTCTTTCTCCCTTTTTAACTTTTTTAAAAGTGAAGTCAATGAATAAATAACATTACTACTTACATCTTTTAAAGAGGCATTTGCTACCTTGAGTTGTCCAATTTCAGTTTCACGTTCTTGACAAAGATACTCAGTTTTACGAAGTTTGCCTTCTAGTTTTGTATGTTCTGCAGTTAAGTCTGTAATATTATATAAATAAGAATGAAAAAGTTACGGCTAGGGCCTGAATAATCATGTACTAAAATCAATAAAATATGTATACAATAAATAAGAACTAAAAATTAATACATATGTATCATAGTATTATTATAATACACATTCTGTTTTATTAAAATACCTTTCTCCAGACCTTTATAAAGTTATACAAGCATATCAAAAAGAAAACTGATGAACATTTCATACATTCCTTTACTTTTTCAAAATATGATTTTCATACCTATGTGAACAAATTGGAGTTACACATTCTTGCAAACAAAATTATCATTTTTATTTTAAAATCTTTGTATGTCAGATGAAGCCTTTTCTTCAGACCACTCAGTTTGGGACTACTTTCTAAGGGGACATCTGATGAGTGTTCTTTTCCTGACTAGACTAGTAAACCTTACCACACTCAAAAGTCGGTTTGAAGAAAACCACTAACATTCTGGAGAACAAAATTGAGGCGGGTTGCGCAAAACTTTCAGAATAGACTTACTGAATGTGTACAATGAAATTGACAGAATGTAACTCTGACGTAATTTTTAAAAAAAGTTATACCTATTTAAACCTCCACTCTTGTAGAACCCATTTTCAGCATCGAATAAAGTTTTATGTTTGCTTGATTTTTTCTAAATCTTTGAAATTTTCCTATTTCTCTGCGCCACCCTGTATTTATTCTCAAAATGTTCAATACGTTACCAAAGTGGCACAGTGATTTAAAAGAATGATGTCCCAACAATTAAATTAACTTTAACTGAATTACAAATTTTGTGCAATAATAAATATGGGCAGAGAACTAGGAAATTAGTAAAGTGTTTGTAGACCATAGTAACTTGTATCTGTTTAAACTCTTTAAATTATTTATTTATTAACGGTGGCAGCAAGAAGGTGTACACATATCTTACAAACTGTGTAATAAAATTATACAATAAATCACTTTCGTACAGTAACAATGTTATAATTAAATCACAATTATAAATCACAGGTAGTACATGTATATAAGCATATACACAATTGTAATTATTTTTTTGTAATTAGCATACATTCTTAACATTATAAAAATCATTGCCTTTATATTTTGCTACATTTATTTTATTTGTTGTCCAATAAACAATAAAAGAATAATACAGAAATAAAATTAAGAAAAATATGACACGTGAATACCACAATAACAATACAAATACACAATTCAGTAAAAAACATTGTTGGACTGAAGATGTTGCAACTTGTCTCATTTCCCACCCTAGTCATTCTAGTGATAGGGTTATTTGCAGTTTTGATCACTTCTGGAGAACTTGTGCAGGACAGATTCAATAGTAGTAGTGATGAAATGTGAAAAAATGGATACGAGGCCACAGATACAAACATTAAAATAGGTTTAACACGCATCGTATATAACGTTTTTAAAATGTTTACTGCATCAAGTTTAGCCCATATTCTTCAGATGAAGCCAAGGATTTCGTAGGCTTCATTAGTTGTGTAGTCAATAAAGTTAACAAACGACATTTTAGAGTCAAAGTATTTACCCAGATTCCGAATCACAGACACATTCGAGAGGTAATGCATCTATGGTATACTGGAAATAGGCTACTGATCAGGAACGAGAGAATGTAATAGATTTGCATTTGACAACATTTAATACAAGATCCTTCTCTTTATACCATTCTTTCTTCATCCAGCTCATTCTTTTTCCAGTCTTTAACATTTCCCACTCATGGAGTAACATAGTCAAGACAGAGGGGAGGATGGTAGGCATCAACAGAAACAAACACTGGAGTGACTTAATGCATATTAGAGTTTGAAAAAACTAAATCCAATAAAAAATTTAAACATTAACAATATGGTTGATTTGAAACAAATTAATTTAACACAAGGTTTCTGCTAATGTCTTTGCACAGTTCCTCTCTCTTAATGTAGCATCTTTGTTGAAAGACAAATAGCACACGAATTCGTTGTTGTGTCAGGAAACAGGAAACGAAACGGGAGACACATTGCTCAAAGCCAGGCGAGGGTATCAGAAAGATAGTACTCTGGGTTGCGACACACTGAGCATTGAAAGAGTCAGCAAGCAGTTGGACTGCAGCCACTGTTACAGACAGTAAGGTGGTGTGTATTTTTACGAGTTTCACAGCCATTTTAACATTTTGGTTGGAAAAAATCATAGAAGTCTAACCTTCGATGAAAATGTCAAACTTACAGAAGCAAGAGAAATCAGAAGCTGTCAATGAAGAATGTGTAGTCATTGATTAGTGATTTCTGAACATTATATGAAAATATATTTTAATAATCCAAATAAAATAATTTTCCATACTTTTTACTCCACTTTAATTGCTACTTTACTTATTGAAAGTTACTAGCTTCAGGATGGAAATATTAATATCACAAGTACCTTAAACGGAAACTTTCCTAACCTGGATTTTTTTTCTTTTTTTTCTTTCCCTAATCGATTCTGGCTTATACAGATTTTAGAGAATTCTTTAGTAAATAAAATATTGTAAAACTCACTTGTCATGTGTGCCAATAAAACATTGCTACATAGCATAAATTTGTAAGGTCAGTAACAGTTATGAATATGCTTTAAGTATTTTAATGTTTTCTAAAAACTGAATAGTGTGTATTATTTGCAATTTAATTTTTTTATCTTCAATGTCATTGATGATGTAGGCACTTTCTATGTTCAAGCAGTAGCAGAGTAAAACATGTGACCACTTGAACAAATATACAAGTTTTTTGTTATTTCTAGTTATTCAAAATAAACATTTAACACTTTCAGGAGTTAAGAATTGTCATTACTCTCAATGTTCTGAAGCAAGGATTGTTGGTACAAGGTCTTGGTAACGTTTTAAAATAACAATCGCAGTGAGTGGAGGAGTCAAAAGAACAAAAAGGGATGAATGGGTACTGTGGAAAAGCAGAGAGAATGAAGAGGGCAAGGGAATAAAAATTGGAAAAGGGGAACAAAAAAACAAAATTGGAATAGGGGGACAAAGGGACAAAATTGGAAAAGGGGAACAAAGGAACAAAATGGGAAAAGCGGGAAAAATTAGACAATGAATACAATGGAACAAATAGGGGGAAAAGGGGCAAAGTGACAAGAGTTCAAAATTGGACAAGGGGGGAAAGGGGGCAAAGGGACAAAATTGGACAAGGCATTGGAGCAAAAAGAGCCAAGAAGGCAAACAGAAAAAGGGGACAAAGGGACAACTAGGACTAATGGGACAAGGAGTCATCCGTAAATTACGTTATGCTAAATAGGGGGAGGGGTTTTGTGGCAACATTACGCTGCATTACATAGGGACTGGGGGTATTCCAGTGTTATGTCACATTGATCTTTTTTTACATTTTTTAACTCCGGTTGAAATACTTCCTGTTTTGAGTTCTTGTAATAAAAATATTAATAAAATTTCCTGTTCTTGTTATAATATTATCTAAATTATTTGAAGTTATTAGAAGTTGATACAATAAATGGATTTTTTTTAGCAAACATCAATGTTAAAAATACATCCACAAAAACCATCGATGTTTTTAGACTGCTTTAGCAATGTCTAACATTAAATTTTTGTGCATTAAAATTTAATTTGATTGTTCATATTTCTCACTTCGTGGAATAAGAAGAACGGGCAGACCCTACGTCCACAGCATACTTGTTGCCCACATCTCAATGTGCGAAATGGATATGAAGAAAGAGGAAGTACAAGGGCATGGAGGTCATCTCAGGTGAGAGAGTTTGTCGATGAAGGTAATACACACAGCGTTCCTTTGGTTCCAACACATAAACTACAGTGTAACCATCAATTATTTTTTTATATTTTAACTTTTACAGTATTGTGATCATGATATTGTTTCATTTAGAAACAAAACATTGGAAAAGAAAAAAACATTTATGTTTCTACAAATAACAAAAAATAATAATTTAAATACATTCTCACCAGTAAGTTTTGCTTGTTGATCTTTCAACTTTGCTTCCAATGATCTAATTTTTCCCAAATACTGTGAAGCTTGAGCTGAAATAGTAGCAAGCTGATTTTGTGATTCTTTTAATTTTATTTCCAGGGACTGCTTCTCTTCATTAAGGCTTAAAACATTTCGCCTTAGTTCTTCATTGACAAGGTTTAACTCATTTATTACTTTTTGTTTATTTTTCATATCCTACAAAATACAATGCTCATTAATATTTCTTCCACCATGTACAAAATAACAATTCACCTGTTCTAAATAAACTATTTAGTTATAAAAGTAAAATCTTATGGAACAAAATACAAAAATCAATGGAAACTATATTGACCAACAAGATACAAACAGATTTACGGAAATTATTCCCTTTGCATATTAAAAACATAATTAATGAAGTCTATGATTGAGTGTTTGGTGTTAAGAAAAGCATTCCAGCTGAACTATGAATAATAGTGTATTTTGCAACTAGTTTTCAAAATTGAATGAATGCATTACAGCAACATTATAAATTTATTAAAGAAATAAATTTACACAATGATTTTTCTCAAGAAATGTGTTCTACAACTTGTTCTAGTAGTAAACAGAATCTTCAGAAAATTAATTGAAACTGCTGGTCAAAGAAAGAAAAAAAATCAAAGAAAGGAGACAAAACAATTGCCAAGAATAGCGTTAATAGCAATGAAGGTCTGAGAATACGCAAAATACAATGACCTCACACCTACCCAACAACATGACTTTGTATCAGCTTGCTCCACTACATGTAACCTAAAATATTCATTAGATAATTGGATCCAAATCCTTGATTCCAGTAAACCAAAGGTATCTTAATTTTGTCGAAGCTTTCAACAGAGTACCTCATGAAAGATTAATCCTCAAACTTCACTCCATTGGATGATGATTAAGGTTTAAGGGCACTTCAACAGCTAAGGTCATTCGTGCCAAATTATTTTCAGTGTCAAATTATTTTAACAGCAATATGCACTGTAGGAGGGCCAGACTACAACTTTTTTTTGCAAGGTAATAGTAAAACTGAAAATAAACGTGTTCAATTATTTAAAAGTGTTGGCAGAAATGAGGCAGATAAATACTTTTAAAACGTCTAATTACAAGCCTAATATTTGGCATAATCCTCTTATCTCAGATAATGCGGCAAATGTCAGACTCTCGTAAGAAGATAAAAAGCTTGCAGAGAGATTCATCTTTTCCAAGTACTTGTGCTAGAGAGCTAGCAAGGTGGTCAACCCTATGGTCAATCTAGCTCTGGCTCGTGATAATTTATAGTTCGTGAGATTATCTGTAGTTGGGAACCTACTAAGATTTGCTAATGCCCGTTTCCGATCATGCACCGTGGTGGTACAGTCGGCATTCCACCAAGGAAAGGGAGGATGATGTGGGTCAACGGTCGACTTCGGGATGGCAATTGAAATGGCATGTAGAATGGCATCAGTAAAATGGGCAATCATAGCATTGGTATCATTTGGGCAGGTTTCCGATTCCGTATTTCTTTCTCAAATGTTTTCCAAATTGCGAAATTTTGAGCTAGTTTTAACAAGTTTTGAGTTTACAAGTTTTATATGAAATTATTTAAAGCACATGTACTCATAAATATAATAATGAGAGAAATTGCTGCAAATATAAATATGAACAACATTAGAACTACTCAAAAAAATTACATTTTCAGAATTTTTGAAAAAACAAAAGAATAGGGAAATATGGAGTTTATGCCTTCTTATAGAGTGCATTCAGCACAATCCTTACCAAAAGTTTAAAGAAAAAAATTGGAGCAGTTTCTGAGAAAATCTTGTTTTTGTAATTTTTTTTAAAATTGCACAAAATGCTCTCAATGTTGCACGAAAACTACTAAAGTTTTCAAGAAAATGTACATGACCTTAACAAAAGATTAAATTATGGGAAACAATATTTTTTATTTGAAGAAAATATCTCTATCTTTAATTTTGTACTTATGGGAAGATCATGAAAAAAATTCAAACGTTTGAAATTTTTGAAAATTCAGACATAACCTTGAAAATCGAACTTATACCACCATTATAAGTGTATTTTCCTAAATTATTAGAAGAAATTTAAAGAAAAAAATTCGGAGCTTCACATCAAGTATCCCAAAAACTATATGGGAAAGTATGGGAAAATATATGGGAAAGTAAAAAATTGAAACCAATTTTGAGAAAGATGTCACTCTCTGACTCTTCAAAATCAATAAACATCCCCCGATTTTTTCCATTTTTTTGAAAGTGTTTAACCTAAACATGTAAGTGAATGTTATTCTGAAACTAGCTTACCCAAGTATGCGAGATCGCCAAAGCGTCATGGGTCAGAATCTCACCTTGGGCATGGATGATTATTTCAGTGTTGTGATATGCTGGACTTTATCCCAACCTTATCATCTTAATTACCTATTTCCTTCACAGTCCTCCCTCTGTCCAAATGTACCTGCACATGACATATGAATGCCACTATCTGGTGTGGTTAGTACAGTACATAGCTGGTACATGACAACTACTTGGCCGCCACCAAACTTCCCTACCTATCAAAAAGTGCAAGTGCCTCCACAGACTTATGAGTTACCACAGGCAGGTAACAATTCAGTGTCAGCTGATGACCAAGATGATGATGATGATGATGATGATGATGATGATGATGATTATGTGACAATTATTGGGACACTTCTTCCTAACCTGCACATGGCTTTTGTGGGCTTGACTTGCTGTAGATTTCTCTGACTCGAGAAGTCTTGAGATTTCTCTCTTGTCTCGTTGTAATCGTTCTACACATTGTTGACTATGATATAATAGTTGATGCATACGGTTTGCTTCTGCGTTCATTTGTGCTAAACGATGTTGAAGGTGAGTAGCATGGTTATTTACAGCTTCCAAGCTGGCATGAAGGGCACGTTCTGAATGACCGAAGGCTGCCAATTTATACTCGTAAAGTTCCATCACTGAAGACATGGGGATGTCCTTTGCCTGTAAATGCAAAAATAAACATGACATAGAGAGTTAGTTCATCATCAATTATTAAAATCTACAAACAACTTTGAAAATATTACTGATGTACTGAACATGCATAAGTGGTCTTCATTACATTAGGGTTTTCAATACTTTTGAGTTTGAAATCTACTATTGTAGTGTACGAAAGCAAATTTATTTAAGTTCATTTTAACTGTTTCAATCCCAAATTATTTATTACGAAGACAAGAAATATTTAAGATATAAAATTAATAAGAGGGAACTTCAGAAAACTTAAAAAACAGTTTTTAACATTTTCCGCATTTTATTTATTTTTCATAAAATGTTGCCATATGACTACAGTGGGCACATTGGGAACTTAATATATTATATTCTTCAAGAAATAAATACAGTAAAACTAGCCTTTTTTGCTAAATCAAATAAAAAAGCAGTTCTTCGGGTTTGTTATATATACACACTCGCACATTTTGAACTTTTAGTCCTTGAAAACCTACCTGGCAACGTTTACAATGACATTTAGCTAATTTTTACAGTAACAAGAATTGTTTGAAATAACTCTGATGCACAGAAGGCATTGATTAATTTATCAACAAACTTTATCACCATTTATTTCTTTCAAACATTATAGCAATTTCTGTATTTTTACAGAAGGTCGAAAATAGATGTAAATAAATGTTTAACCTTTCAATTTATTTATATTAGTTTTGATCTAAAATATAATATACTTTTCCTATATACTGAAAATAATATCCTTCTATTATATTTTTGTTATTGTTCATTAGAGAATTTCAGTATTTTCATTCAGCATCTGCACAGAATTCAACAATATTTTTCTAGTAATAACAGTTTTATCATCTTGAATGAAAAATAGATAACTGATGTGTTATTTTTTACTACATCAAAGAAGATATAAAGTTATTGAATTTATTTTACATTTATTCATGCTTCTATTATAGTAAGAAGGTGTCATTGCTTCAAATTAGGATTATGTAATCCTCCAATCGCAGCAAATAGATATGACTGAACCTCCATTCGTAGGTTACGTATGTTGTATGTACCTGTCGTAGCCATATAGCATCAACTCATTTCTCAATCAAATATCTTCCAAACTTTCACATAAATCCTTACATTGTTATAGTCTGTTCTGTAAACAAAATCCTATTCTTCAAAACAGAATATACATTTATCACAGAAATTTACCATTGCTGAGAAATTTAACAAAAAATAGGACCTTGCAGTGTTGTGAATAACATGTGAACACACACCAAAGAGAAAATTACTACAGAAATCCACAAAACAAACATATATCCCTGATCTATTTGTTAAATAATTCAAGTAAGTAATAATATTGAAATGAATAGAAATCTTAATTATTGATTAAAAATATATTCAAGCAGTATAATCAGACCAAGAAAGTGATCAAGTCATACAGCTACATTGGGATTGAAAGGGCTAACAATCTTGGTAAAAACTCTTATTTCAGTGCAATCATCCCTAGGTCATTTATGAAACATTAGAACAATCTCTATCACATATGAAATTACAATGTGTAAGTATTGCCTATTCGTGTGTGTTCATGCCGCTTACCCTTAGTGGGTACTTGTCGAGGGCTAACCCCCTCACTAGCTATTGATCTAATGACCCTACACTTAAGTTCAACAGGAAATCGCATCTTGAATTGCATCTTTAGGTCTAGTTTGCATGTGAGATTGGATAGAAAGTTTCTTGAATATAAGAATGAGTAATGAGTCAAGGGAATGTTTGACATAAGTCATGATGAGATAAGCAATTCCAGCTCCTTTGTTTACATTACTCTTTGTAGTTTAAGGTTATTAAAAAGATTCCAAGGGAAAAAAAACAACTTTATTTCATGGTAATTAGGAGAATAAACCTGATGTAGGCTTCTTGTAACCTCATAACCTTGATTACCATTAATGGGTCCATTTCTACCAGAACCATTAGTGACTCCTTAAGAGAGATTTCATTGTATTAATAGTCATGTTGTCCATTTCTTATATTATCTTATATATTTTCTTAATATTAAATTAATATTTAAAACAACACTCACTTCAGAGTTATGAAGAGTTTGTTGCAACTTTGCGATAAATTCATCTAATCTCCCTTCCTGAGTTATATTGAACAAGGGAGTTAATTCATGTTGGGAATCACATCCAGTTTGACTAACTATTGTTCTCGATTTGCCAGTTGGAAGAGCAACTAATGGTTCTAAATCACACAAAGATTTTGCCAATGGTGAAAAACTGCAAAATAAAGAAATATTAAGTGAGTTACCTCCACTGAAAAAGGTTTGAGTATATAAATGAATAACATTTTTTTTCAAAAGACAACTGAAAATCTTCAAACTAGCTTATTGTGATACTTAATGAGTTAACTAAAATTTCTAAATACAAAAAAACAATAAAAAAAAAAAAAATTCACTTGCGTAGTTTCATGTGCTCATGTGAATGTTTGACAATACATACAATGTGGATTCTCTTTGACATTAAATCAAAACAATATCAATAGTGAAAGCAAAACTGAAACTGCTATTCTTTTATTAAATGAAATTATTTTAATTGCCAGAACAGGAACAAAATGAAATGGTTTCACTTTTAAAAGATAATCATACTTTCATGCAACTTGTGTGGTTGGATTCATTTTTCACGAAGTGGTTCACTATGTCAACAACGGGTTGTTGGAGAGCAGACTTTTTATTATTATTTCTTAATTTTAAATTCTTCCATTTCCCCCCTCCCCCTGAATGGGAAAGAAATAGGACAAAAATAATTCCCTGATCCTGTGTGTTGTGGGGTTATGGGACAGACCCAATCACCAACCAACCATTCCCACAAACCCTATCCTTCATCTCTCAACTGGCTGGTGTAGCCAAGATCCCCTCCAGGGTACCTTGGCAGCTCCCACCAACCAGAAAATAATAATGGATGAGGGAGGGGGAAGGGCTTGGCCTAAAGAAGGCATAAGGAAGGGAGATGGGCTTCCCAGGAACACTCAGCACAGAAGACTAGCAAGGTGTTGGGAAAGGTGGGTCACTCAATGGCCAAGAGGCTAAAAGGTACCCTGAAACCACCAAACTGAGTACCATCGAAAAAGAGGAGTATATACATGCATACATAACTTACGCTGAAATATTCTATTAACTGAAATTGAGACATTATTAGAAATGGTTTGATATCTTAGGTAATTGAATGAAATGTTTAACACAAATACCTTTCAACAGGAAAACCAAGTGATCCTGTAAGACTTAAAACTTCTTTTTTGATGTTTTCTTCGCCTTTATATAATCCTATTGCTAGAACCATCAATATTTGTTGATGTGATAGAAGCTCCATAAAGAAATTCACCCAATATCCATTGTGCTTTGCAAGTTCAGCAACAAAAGACAGAGTGTAAATGTTCAAAGCAATCAAGTCTTTTTGGAAAAGATTACTATTTTCTTTTATATCAAACAATATCAAACCTTGGCACAATTTTTGTACCACTGTTTGGTTTATAAAAGATAAGATCTTATCAGATAAGTTTTTAATACAGCACATTTCTCTTAAAAGCTGTAATAAAGCTGTAATGCGACTTCTTGTTTCACCATTCATTGGACAAGCGTCTTCACCTTTACCCAAATCCAACATTGTTAAAAACACCTGAAAAAGAAACATGCATTCCTACATAAAAATAAATATTTTTTTACAAATTCTTACAAAATGAACTCAAAAACGTAAACAAATGCATTACAAATAATGAATTATTACAAGAAAATAAGAAAGTACAGTTACAGTAGTACAAAGAAATACAATGAAAAAGGTTTTCCATATATACCATTTCCATAATTATTTAGTTACAATTTATTGAATTTCTGTTTTAACAGAGCTTCAGACATCAAAAATCACTGAACCTTGAATGCATTACTATATACCAAGTTGAGGACATATTATTATGTAGAATTGCCAGTTTATCAATGCAGCTATACTTCATCTTTACTTCCTTCCAGCATCAATTTAGTGTAGCAGCAACACAATTAACTTTCAGAAGTCACTGATCAACTTATTTCCAATGAAGCACTCACGAGCATTATTACACTCAAACATCTCAACGACTCCAATTGTGCCAGAATCCCAATAGCACTCAACGTGATTATCTGGCAGGTTAAAAACCAACTATCAACACCATGGATGTCCCCCCCCCCCTCCCTATATAACAAATAATTCTCGAAGCCAACAGTCGCTCATCAGTTACTGGCATTTCAACATTGAAAATAAGTTATCTCCTAGGATGTAACAAGAGCTTTATCCCTTCCCCAAAACACAATCATCTAAAGCGTCAGTGTCCAAAGGTCAAAACACTGACCCCAGGAAGCTGCTTTCCAATGTCAAACCTTCACTCCCATGGTCTGATGGAGCAGTTCGAAGAACACTTGGAAAATTATTTTGTGAATGGGAAAAGTACCACTTTTGAATTATTCTTCACTATATAGTACTGTTTTCACAGATTTCTACATATTTTTAATTATTCAATAGTAATAAAAATATTACAGTATGGAAGGAAAAGAGAAATATTTTGCACATAGGATGTTGTAAAGTTTCATAATATTGAAAAGAATGCCTTACGAAATTGTGATGTATTACGAAGTAAGAAAACCCATCTTATAGCACTACTCACAATGCATTCTACATTCAAGTTAATCTTATTATTCAAAGTGACTAAGATCTTTCATATTCTCAACAAGCATAATATAGAAGCTCTTAAGTGAGTATAGATATTGAACGTTTTTCTCATCAAATGATTTACTTATTTATTAAAACAGACGTAAGAAGTTGGGAATAGGCAGAGTGTTCAGAGCTAAAATAGTATTCAGCAAGAACATATGGAAACATTTTTATGCTCATACTTGCAACACTGTCAGCTGTATTTTGATTGTCTTTCTTTGTATGTTATGTTTGAGCTTTCAGCGAAATAAACTGATATTTAGAATGTCTAAATTACACTGGCTGATAACTTTGGAAATTGAAGATTGAACAATCAGTAAGAATTGGATTTTTTTGATTGCAATTTTTTCTTCATGGATGGTCTACTAGTATTGATAGTGTTGGCAGCTGATAACAATGCAGGACTTTCTATGGTAAAAAAAGAACAATAAACATAACTGTGGTATGTACAGTCGTCTCCGGCTTCAGTGCACTTGGAAATAGTGAACCCTCGATTATAGTGAATATGTCACTGATCCCGTTTCACTTACATTACAAATAAGCATAAAAAGACTCAGTTATAGTGAACCAGAACATGAGCTATTGTGAATGTAGGAAATACATCCTGGAAATTAATTCCCTTCTGGAAAAGAATGTATCACCCCAGTGTCACAAATTTCAACCCTGGGCCACTTGAAAAAATGTCTGACAAAGACTTGTCTGACAAGGATGTCTAGTGGGGTGTAGGTAGGAGTCCAGGGATGCGCAACATTACTAATGGCCTTATGCCACTCAGTTTCACTGCAAAAACAAAGGCCATGCCCTGTGTGGGCTACAATTGGCTGCGGTAATGCACTATTGCTTATATCAGTATCAGTCTTGGTGTTATTTAATATTCCACAGGTCAAAGCACATTGAGTTTTATGTAGGCGACAGGAAGCCCACAACTGCTACACCCTGATGATATCCGCCATGCCATGCGGAAAAGCGATCAGTTTCATTAGCCACTTGCCCCATCCCGCTACCGAAAGCAGCATCTCATATATTATTAGGCGAGTAAAAGGGTCTTCAGAGATGGGACGTTATTCCAACAGTGCAAGAGGCATTGAAGGGTGTCAAGACTGCATTACGATACTTATTGTTAGACAAGAGAGGACAATATAGGAACAATTATGTAGAGCACAAGCTGTGGAGGATCTAATAAAAAAGTACAAAGCAAACAATTGAAACAAAATTGATTTTTAAGTACAAATAAAGATGTTAAAATTTCAATTTGTGCTGTTAATGTATTTTGCTTTATCTCTATATTCATAAAATCAATTGTAATAGAGAAATCCTGTTTAATTTTGATTTCCTCAGATATAGAGAATAGAAAAATGTTAGTCCCCAGTTCACTATAACAAGAATTTACTGTATATTGTTGCGGGTGAATTTCTATGATATTATTCTTATTTTGATACATTTTTCCGCAAACAATGAAAACCTGTCTTTTTAGAACTCTATTTTAACCCTGCAATATCATCAGATTACAATAAAATAAGTACAGACATAGAGAAAATTTTTAACAATAGCAAACACTTTGAATAATAACAAATGGGAGTGTTTTAACTATATAAACAGATACGAGAATTAACCAAATACCTTAGCCCTCAGGCTCAAATGATTTAATTAGTTCTTAGGTGTATAGCAGGGATGGCCAGCTACTGGAACTTTGGGAATACCAATCTTAAGGGAAGAGTTGGGATAGAACCAAACTTATTTTTCAAAGGTTAAACATACTCATTTTTGATTACGTAGTTTTTATAACAAACAAATAGCTGAATTGCAAATATTGTATTTATTCACAAACAGAAATATTAACACACTATTGGTGAAACAAATATAGTGTGTTTCAAAGTCAAAGACCTCTATTAATTTTTTTCCCTGCTAATTTTTCTCCTTTAATTTTTTTTCCACTGTTAATTTTGACAGCTAACTCTGAGATCTGGGTCACAAGAACGCTGGAAGAAGCCACATGTGGCTCATAAACAGCACAGTTACCACTTTGTAGACACAGCCTTCAAAAGTACTCTTTTAAAAGTGTATATTAAGACTACCCTACAAGACACATTTAATACCAATCAAAAGTGCCAAAGTAGTTATGCTCAGTGCATCTCAAAGTAAATGGATAACATTATATATCATTCCTTCCAATCAAATCCCAGATTCATCCATCAAGAAAAAACTTGAGGACAAATAAATGCATGACCATTGTAGTAGCAATAATAAAAATCAATAACAGATATCCCACAAGGAGCTAAGTTCAAACTTCTCCAAAAGCTGTCCGAATTGGGAGTGGCCAAAAGCTTAAATACTGAAAGCAAAGAAATAAACATTTGGCTTTGAAAATTCAATATCACTTTCCTTTTTAACAGAAGACACATACCCCAATTCCTCATTTCCTCTCAAAATCAAAACTCGTTCATACAAATCAACACACATACTAAGCGATATTGAAGGTTTCCTTGGCACAAGTCATGCAAATGATTTTGACAGTCCAAGTGACGCTGCATCAAAGTATTATGCCAAGGCATCATAGACTTCAACAAAGTGTCACGTGGACTGCCAAGATTATTAACTTACATAATAAATTACAGCAACATAAAAAACAAACCGGTAATTGTTCTTCTAGAAGAACTAAGACACTTTCTTTAATTGTATTATTTAAAGTTCCTTTCTTAACATCCACAATAATTGATCGTAGCAGACACAGGGACTGAGTGCATGCAAGTGCAGTCTGGATCCAAGGCACATTAACTTTCACTAATCGTGGATACAATGGAATAATTGATGGAACTTCTAAGCTCACAAGCAGTTGTAAAAACTCCAGCAACAAACCAGCTCTTTCAGCATCTGGTTGATCATCAAAAAGGACAAGAAGACTTTCTATGTCTTCATAGTATCTGAAATAGACACAACACAAACAAAATAACATTAAAATCATTCCTCTTCAAATATATAAGATGCCAAATTTCACCAATGTTCATGTTAATAAGTAAAGATATTCTGCAAACCTTTTGTAGGTACGTAATACTTCACATGATTGACTGTTACTGCGAACATCACTGAAGAAATCAACTATGTGATGAAGCAAAAATATATCTTTTGCTTTAAATGCCTCCTTCAGTGTAGCAAATGTTGCTTCGATTAAATTGATAATATCACTTGGAGGAATATCTCCAGATAAATGCTCCAATATAATCAGTAATTTACAAACCTATTATAGAGAATTATTTTTAATTTTCAACAACAACAACATAATTTTTAACAACATATTTGTTAAAAGAATAACATACAAGGTAGCAGTCAAACAGAAAAACAAGTGACATGGCTGGAGGAGCAGAACCTCCGCAAAACATCTACAGAATACAGACTGTTTCGGTTATTGTCACCTTACATGGAATGCATGTTTTTATCATAGGAGGTGGCAGTGTTGTTCTGCCAGTGATCCAGTTCTGACCTACACATCGGCTTGCAATGTTTTCCTCATCTAGGTATTTCCCACCAGTGAGGCATTATCCAGCCGGTACAGGCTCTAATCTCCACATTGGTCTCTGACATGTGTAGTGTAGAGCATATAAAAATGTAAGTAAGGGGTGAGGTTTGGACAAGGAAGAGAAAGTAAATGTCGGAAGCGGTCGGTGGGCTGTTTGTTAGGGTTCTCCTGGTGTTGATTGTAGAAACCGAGGACCCACAATCTCAGTCAATCTCAGTCAGTCAGAGAGACACCAAAGACAGCAGCTGATGACCAACCTCAGCCGGTCACAGAAAAGGAAGTATGAAAAATTTAACCAGTAGTGTTTCCGTATACTAAAGGTATACAGGGAAAACTAAAATTTATTGGAGCAAACTAAAGTGTACTTATAAAATATGGTAAATACTCATTAAAAATGATTTAACAATATTAGGGTCAAATTGATGTACAATTCCATAAAAATAAATTTTGATTTTCAAATTATTTTGCAGTACTTTTTTTGTTGTACAAAACTTGGGGGTTTTGTATCTTTTTCACTAGCAACAGTTTTTACCACAAAAATTACTTGACACTCTTTCTTTGCCAACACTTTCCACAATTTGACACTCCTCTCTTCAATGAATTATAAACTCCAATAATTCAAGAATACGATTGGATGTGAGGGCACAATACACTATTACACATACTGCTTTGGCATTTTGTAAACCCCTACATTAGTTCTCAGATTCGCAGTTTGACTACCAGAGGAGTAATACTCTATGATAAACACAAAGGATACAAAACAAGACTCAGATGTCTGGAGATAAACAAACGCCATTAGTTCCAATCGGCAAGGTCAATTATTTTTCTCGTCAAGTGATAATTAACATAGGATGGATACAATAAAACAAACAAAAATAACAGCTATTAAATTTTATTTTATCGTCTTCACAAAGGACCTTCACTTTCAATGTTCAGCATTAACAGACAAGACAAATGAAAAGACTATTGCAAAATTTACTGGGTGGAAAAATAAATTGAACAAAAATTGAACGAAAATGCACAACTATTATTTCATTCTACAAACGAAGTTTCAAGAAATCAATGCAGTTATCCAAGTATTGCAAAAAACAAATGGAAATAATTTCAACTATTAGATGAATCTTTTTAAACCCCATTCTAGGGGATTCATAATTTCTAAGACAAGGATTTATTTCAAATAACCTGCACCTAAATATGCACAACCACGTTAAGTAAAATAGTTCAAAATATAGGGTAAGAGGGGTCAAATGGCTGGCCAGGGACTGGTGGGAGTATAGGGGCTCATAAGTGCTCACCAATAAATATCAGTAACACTACCAGTAATGGGAATTCCTGCTTTGGGAGCAAGGTCAATGAGTCCTACCTCTCTCTTCCAAGTGGCAGCCTCTGTACTATCTAATAGTGATGGAAAATTTTAATCAAACATCAATACATTGATATTTTGATACATCACCAAAAGGTTTTCAATGAAAAAAATGACAAAAATTATCGATGTTTTAAATACGAAAACACAGGTAGTGTTTTACCATTCTACTTCCATTTTAATTATAGTACATAAATGGGTTAAATTATATTGTTTGGTCGTGTGTAAGTAATACGTCAAAAATAATCTTCATTGAATGTAAAGAAATAAATTAAAAAATAGAGGACATTGTGTTTTGTATTTTTCCATTTATTCACTTTCATCCACAATTCATAGGAGTAAAACATTCTGGATCTAAAGAGATACATAATACATAAATTTAATTTTAAATATATTCTGACTGAAATTACTGTAACTTAATTTTTAACCAATATTCTAGACAGACAAGTTTTAAAATGCAGTTTAGTGATACTTTCCCCAAAACCATAAAAAAAACATAACACGTGCATTTTTTTAACACAAAACATAGGAAAGTGTTTGAAAATTATTTTGGACAAGGACATTTTTATTTTTTAAGACTTTCTTCAACATACCTTCACCCATACTAAATATTAAAGAAAATAAATCTGCTTGCTTCAAATTGACTCAACCTCCATTCAGTCAGTTTGTCAGCCCAAACATTTTTCATGATGCTAAATGCATTTAGAACCATGGCCAATGCACATAATTGAAATAATTGTAGATTTCAAACCAATTTCTGACTGCAAAAATCGCCTATAATCATTATTTAAAGCTAGCCCTAATAAACTCCAGAATTATTTCCTTTCATAAAATAATTATTTTATTTTATTAAATTATATACAGGTTTTCTGTATTAATTTTTTAAAAGTTTTTTTAAAGCCATTAATATAAAGAGAAACATTTCCCCCATATGGTGAATATCTGGCAACCCCATGATATATTTACACAAAATGTAGTTTTGGATTAATAATATAGTTTAGGCCACATTCTCTTTTCGATAAGTCATATGTGGTTCACAGTTAGTAAAATTTCTAAGTTATCTACAGCAGATATTGAACTGGTTTATTCAGTTTTATCAATCACTTACTTTTCACATGAAAGATAATTGATATTCTGTTAAAATCATCATGAAGTATGACATCCTGACAACCCAAACAAATGAACACCCAAGAATAACCATAACAAAATCTCTCCTTCCCCCTCACTTACCTATAAAGAGAATAAATATTCAAATTAAATCCTCTAACCTAGAGAAATGTTGCAAATAGTAAACGGTTTCCTGGCCTTTGGACATTGACAACAGCGATAGGTGTCAGTGGGTGGGTCAATCAGTGTCGGTTTTGAGAAATTCACAAAGAAGATAGTTACTGTACATTTTATTTACATCATGAGGTTTTTTGTTTGTTTGTTTTTTAAACCATTTTTTTGAACCAATGGTTTCTTCAATGCGAAGAAAACATTGAACACAAAATATCGATGTTCCTGGTCAAAAATATTAATACTTTTTGCCATCCCTACTACCTACTCTCCTTCTCTATTCAGATAGTAGCAAACTGAGAAGGACAAAAGAAGTCACCGGTGTGGGAAAAACCAAGGGAGTCTTTCTCAGGTGTGGTGAAAACAGACTGCTTAAGACAACCCCACGCAACAAACGTTGGCCCTCAAGAATTATTAGGGGTCGGTCACTGGGCTAAGAACTTGGCATTGAAAAAGAAAGGAAAGTAAAAAAAGGAAGAAAATATAAAAAGAGAGAGTTAACCCAATTCAAGAAACTGCTGGACAAGTTTACGAATGAAGACAATGCAAGGACAAGGATATGGATGGGAGCCCTCAATAATCCAATAGATATAATGATGATCAAATGGACGTATTAGCTGTATCTCAATAAATATATAAAAAAATATTGCTCTTAAAATATTACTGTATTTCAATACAGGGTTATAAAAGGAACATCATTTCCTCACATCCATAAACATAATTAGAGATCTTGGATGGCCAGACAACAAATCAAATTGACAACTCATAATTAATTCTAGTTTTTGTAGAAATCTAGTGGTCATTAAAAGTTACAGAGGAGCTAATAGAAACTCTGATCATTATTTGGTAAAGGGGCAAATAAGATTTTGGATTGCAAAAGATTGGAAGTCAAACAAGATGCCCAGAACATTCAATGCAGAAATGTTACAGTCACAGGAACTCAAACACACGTAGAAATAAACTGCAAAGTCTAGAGAGCAAAGTGAGTCAAACTGGTAAAGAGGCTGCATTGAAAAGATGTAATTGCAGGCCTGACTGAGGGTACAATGGGAATGAAAGAGAGAGGCCCAAATAATGGTTTATTGAAGAATGTAAAAAAGAAACAACTTTCAAGAATGAAGCACATAAGCGCATGCTACAAAGATGTACCAGAAGAAAAAAAATATTATAAAGGAACAAGAAGACAAGAATAGAACTCGTAAAAGAAAATATGAAAGCCTGTAAACTAAATCTGAAAAAGTGGAAAAGATGTATGAACAGCAAGAAAGACCAAAACTTTATACCTTAGTTAATGAAATGAGAAGATAGTATAATCCTACATTTTAAACATCATTTGGGCAGACACATAAGGGGAGAATTATATATGTGAGGGATATGATGGTTAAGGCCATCACTAGAGTGACAGAGGTTCATGAACGTAAGGACCCTGAAGAAGAAGTACTGTGGCTGGAATTAAAAATTGCTAACTTGCAAATTTTGATTGGAGGAGTTTGTAGGCCACCATTAGATAGATACCAGGCCTAGGCAATCAAATCTCTCTTTGGCTGTCAGTGAATGAAGAACACCAGTTCTAATCTTTATAGATTTTAATTTTCCTTCAATTGTATGGTCAAATAATTCTAAATACCGATGTTGTGAAAGAGTTCCTACAATATATTGGCTCCAATTTTATCCAGATGATTTCTTACTGTATTCAATAAAGAATAAATCAAACATTAGCTGTACTGGCTAAACTGGTACTAACTAATAATGACAATATCATTATCTCTATCCTCAGAGCAAATTTAGGCTTAAGCGACTTGATCATTGTCACAGATCTTAACAATGAGATAGATGCTGATGGATACAACTATGAAAAAAAAGAAATGGAACTACATTAGAGCTATCTATGCCACAACTGAGACTGCTTGTTTGACAGAGATATAACAGCTTATGGAATGTGGCAGAATGTGATGACCTGGAAATCTAATATGAGAGACATTTGGACAAGACATAAAAATGTCAAATCATGCTTGCTTAGAGCCTGGCATAAGGGAAGGCGTAATAAACTCAGGTATATGACTTACAAGGCTACCTCCAAAACACTAAGATTTAAAGAACCATCTCAGAGATGAAGGAATGAAGAACAAATTGTTATAGGGAGTGGGAAGATATTTTACTCCTATATACAAAATAAACAGCCTCTAAGGACCTCTAATTGGACCACCTAAGTCCTTGTTGGGAGAACAACAACAATCAATCGGTGTGAAATTGCAGAATAATTATTTCAACGTCTGTATGTGTGAGCATTCACAAATATATTCAAAAACAAAAGCATGATTTCATCAATGGCTTGGATAAAGGTCAACCCATGGGCATAATCTACCTTCTCAGGATGGCCATCACATTTCCTGAAACAAATTGCCCTGATTTTCCCTCAGAATTTTAAAACATTTTCACTGAAAAAATTATGTAGAGTATTTTGTACCATTTACAGAAAATATTAAAGCAACCCTGAAACTAATTTGTCAGCTCTGTCTCTGTCTCTGATTTTATCGTGATAAAATAACTTTTTTTTTTTAATTCAACAAATAGAAATTGAGAATTGACTAATGTGTGCTCTTTAGAATGTGCTGTTGATAGTATTTGGCGTGCAAGCAATAGTGAACAAAGCAAATGTTCAGTAAACTTTTTATCTTATTCACAACATCTGCCCTGAATAAGTTGTAAATCCCCATTTTATTTGCAACTGTCCCAAGTGCCACATTCCTAGCCTCATGATTCTTATATTCAGGTAAAAAATATCCCACAAATTTTACAATTCCTTATAAAACCGGACAAACGTGCGAGTTTGTTCATTCGGAATGTGCTTCTGCTTCTCAGCCATTTTTATAAATAATTATAATAATAAGTTTACGTTGACCTCACGGATCCCTGTACAGGTATGAACCAGTATAAACACGTGTTTCACAAGCTGTCAGTAAGTTGCTAGCTCTACAGCAAAAAGGATGTCATTGTCAAAAAGTGGTGGGAGAAAGTGTGACTGTGCCGGTAAACTGAATATTCTTGTTCAGCTGGCATCCCTAGTGACTCGTGTGAAGGTCTAGCCAGTCACTTGCAACAAAACATATACTTGTTGCCAGTTACTGGCAAGATGTAAAACAGTCATTAACCTTGATAATTACAGTATGACAAGTATGATGACGAGGGAAGAATTACAGGCTAAAACACACTCAAATTTCAAAATAATACAGCCTAGAAAAATAACACTTCACTTATTACTAGCAAAAGTTAATTAAACGAATACCTAAGGTAAAGAGCCTGGTACATTCTAAGACAAGTCCGTGCAACATGTAATTACTTCTGCATTTGATGCAAAAATACTTATAAGGAAACTCACCTTATAAACCTATTGACAGTAAATAAGAACCTTTGTTTCAGGAAAGTACTCATGTCATTTGAACTTCGGTATATTTGAACAAGTGAACTATTATGTCATTTATGTTAAATCCACTTACGTCTATCTTACTATTTTGTCACATTTCACTAAATAAACACCCATTTAACATTTCCATAAAGCTACACACAATGAGCATTCACAGGATTCACTTAAAAACCTCATAACTTCCCCTTCACCTGAGCAGCACAATCTGTCTGTTAAAATAAACATTCTTATGATGTACCAGACTCTTTCAATTAATCAATTAAATGAATTATATTATATTTACCTTACCTGAACTTGTGTATTAACACTTTCGTTTTGCAGATTTAAAACGGTTCGCATAAATTGTTTATTGTCTACACAGCGCATTAAAGTGTAGATTGCAGGCAAATTTTTGTAGCATAAGTTTACTAATATGCCTAACGATAAGGCTACAACCTCCTTCTCGTTGGTCATAATCCATTGCGTAAGAGTTGATATTAAAAAGGGTAAGTGAGCTTCTTGCCATGAAATCTTAATGCCATATGTCAATTCCTTAAGACATAAAATACCACTTTTCAGCACATCATTAAAACTCATAAATTAATAGAAATCACACATTGAAAACCACCACTCACTTGAAGCACTTGCAAAAGTCGTATGCGTTTGTCATGAGTTAAATCGGTTCCCAATATTCGTGTTAGAATGGGAGTAAATTTGTATGTTTGAATAAGAGCAAGTCTAGCAGCTGAATTGTGACACGCCTGCTGGAGAACAGTCACAGCAGCCCACATAAGACTGGATCTGCAGTCCAAACCAGACATAAGTTCATGCAAACTTATGTAAAATTCAACTGCTGTACTACTATCTGGATCAAATATGCTGTAATCGGTGTAGACTCCCAAGATCTGGAGAAAAAAATTATACAATCAGAAAGTAAATTTTAAAAATAATGTTTATAAGTCCCGGGGGTCCAGGGATCTTACCTGTAATTGTCGCTGCACAACAGACCCGAATTTTTCTGATTTAAAACGATTATATTCCGAAGCACTGGCAATAAATGCCTTTAAATGCTGAGTTTTTTCCATGACTGAATTTTCGACACTCACTTCGACTGTGAAATATAAAGTTTCGAATACATAACAAATAACCTGATCTTTAGAAAATCTATCGACTTCGTTCACGACACCAATTGTTTCAAATTAGTGGGGAATAATGTAAATGACATTAGTTTCCATTATACTTGTTACGGGTTTTTCATCTCACAAATTACGAACTTCAAAACCATTACTTCTAAATATAAAATCAAGAGTAGTTTTAAAACATGCTATTTCTTGCAGCATTCCAGCACCTTCGGATTGGGCACTTACACAGAAATTTAAGAATGGAGCCAAACAAAGCCGTATTTGCAAGGAATAAATATATATACACCATATCCATAATCCCAGAATAAACTGGTAACACTTTTATGGCGCCAAAACACTATAAAAAAACTTCCAATAAAATGTTTGCAGTACAGTAAAACGAGTGGTGCTCAACATCACATACTTTCTCGCATTATTATTACTAGTAGTAGTAGTCGTAGTAGTAGTACTAGGGACACCGAGCACACACTCACTAGGGACAACGAGCTTAAAAAACCAATTGACTCTCCCATTTTTTCCAACATGCAATTTTCGGAAATTCAGAGAGTTAAAAAAAAATATCTGCGCTATTCTTTTATGCGTCTTTTGTTGTAGCCATGGAAAACTTTGATGCGGTTTCTG